TTGAACAGATGTGGGGTTTTATATGTAGGGTAAAATACAGTGAGGCGTACTTCATGGTAGTAACACTGCTGTAGGCAAAACCTGTTAGGCAGAATTTTTTTGTCTGCAGTCAATAAAAGTCTGTTGTAATCAGCTGCCCAAGTCAGCACCAAAACAGTTTTTAAAAATGGTGTTTAAATGTTTGTGAGACTTGTACTTAGTCGTCAGAATATGCCATTAGGCTTGTATAATATAAATGGTGTCTGTGAATACTGTTTTGCAGTCTGACATAGCCGTTGCCTTTTCTCATCTGCAGGTGTGTGGTTTCAGCACAGCATGGCTGTGGTCATCCACTTGCAAGGTCTTCTGATTGTGGTGGGGACCATGGACTTCTCTGGATTGACCATTCCCGATGGGGGCGTGCAAATTGTAGGGGGTGAACTGGGTGAGGCTTTCATTGTTTTACCACTGATGAAGATGTGAGGCTTGGTATCATGTATGCAGATGGTATAAGTAAAAGGTCAAAATTAACTATTGCAGAACAATAAAAACCGTATGTGCAAAATGTGATTGGACTGAGTCCTTGGCAGTTTCAGACTGGACGTGTAGATGTGCTAGTTCTGGAGCACTGTCTGGTGCTGGAGTGAGTGGCAGAGTCAGCTTAGGCTTTGTGGAATCACCTGTAAACCTGTGTTGGCATAGAAATGCTTATACTGCTATACATGAAGGAAACAAAACAAGCTTGTGCCTTGTCACTTGTATAGGACTGCATTTCAAATCTTGGGGCTGCCTGTAGTGTCCCAGTTCAGTTACACCTGTGCTGCACCTCTGCTGAACACGGGACAATCTCCTGCTAGCTGCTTTTGCTCCCTGTTTTTGCCAGTGCTTTTTATTAACCCGCTACCTGTCCTACCGAGTAGTCCTACTGAATCACCAGTGATGTAGAATGCCTCATGGGAATTGGGCAGCAAGCTTACCATCCAGATTAAAACTTAATACTACTTTGCTTTGAAAATTTGTATTTATGCAAACTGTCAAAGTTTACCGTGCTCCTTATCAAGCCAGAGAACTATGATTTTTATGGAGTTCCTCTTTTTTCTCTCTTGCACTCTGATGCGCGGGGGGGAGAGAAATCCCTGGGTTTGGCACAGATAGGCTAAAGAATGAAGGAGATAAGCTGAATTGGGGGAGTGAATTCCCTTTCTTCTGAGCTTATGAAGTACTGAATGGAGACAGTACTAAGCCTGGAAGTGGGACTGATTTAAAGGCAGGGGTTTTGGTGTGATAATATGTAGGAAGTGGTTTAATGATACTTAACAGTGATTTGGAAAGCAGTGTTTGCAAAGGTCGGGAAAGTTTTGAAAAAAGCTGCAGCAATTCTGCAGTTCCCAGAGTGAAAGTAATAGAGGCTGTTATTAGTGAAAGAGAAAGTTTGCCATAACTGTTTGGTTTTGCTCTATATTATAATACAAAAGATTTCTCCAGTTCCCAGAGGAACCCTCTTCTGTTGGAACTTAGTGATGTGCCAGGTTTGGGGCTCAGCACTGAGAGCTTAAAACTGAAGAGAAATAGAACAGCTGCAGGTGCGAGTATACAGGACCTGCACTGTTAGCAGAGCAGAAAGCTTGTTTTAGAAGACAAAAATCGCGATGCCTGAAGGGATCAATAGTAATCTAAATGTATTCTCCTCTGTATTGCCTGATATAAATGTGCCTTCCTGATTGGTACCTGTATGTATCTGAGTAGTCTTTAAAAGCTAAATTACCTCATGGTGACTTATGGGGAAGAAAAGGCTCTCTCTTTTAAACAGCAGAAACATGTACTTCAGTGAATTTAGAAATATTTTCTGTTACAAGAAGTGAATTGTCTGAATCCCAGAGTATTTGTTCCTGAAACAGGTCTAATCCTCATAGTGGAATAAGAAGTTTTGGAGAAAAGATGTTCAGCTTTGGGGGTAGTCCTAGTAACTACCCCTTGATTTAATCATGGTCTTGAGCACTTGAGAAAAATGGATTCCCAGAGTTACCGAGGTGAAAAGCCTGCTCACGTCTTGGTTTAGTTACCAAGTTAGTACAAATACATCTTCTGCTGAAGACAACTTTAGAAGAGATGTTCTGGTGAAGTGTTCTTACTTCTAAGTCGTAGCTATGACTGTGTCTGATTAGTCTGGGGTTGTTTGTAACAGTCTGTTTTGATATAGTTCAAGGTTTTTAAGTGTGCTTGCAGGAGAAGACAGAGGCTGAAACATAAAATCTTGAAGCAGAGGCAAGCCCCTGTGTTCACTGCTCTCTTTCTGAGAAACAAGTTCTCCGTGTGGTCAAGGTCATGCTGATGAGATGTGGATGGGCTTTAGTGTTGCCTGTTGGCCTTGTTTGTGAAGAACTGTGTGATGGCTCCCAGTGAAAGTCGTAGCATTTCAGTCTTGCTCCAATGCTGTGCGTTTCAGGGTAAAATTGTTGAGATCCTCTATTGAGTAATTCATCTCGTGTGATGTTCTACCAAGTATGTATTTGCTTCAGGAAGCTGTCTTGAAATTAGCTGCTGATGAAAAAGCCTGCTTTGCAAGGCGTGCTGAGTATAGGGACTGCTGGATCCAGAGAAATCCAGTTGTGGGATGTGAGAACCCAAAGCAGCCCACGTTCCATAACCGGGGAAGGGAGGAGAAGGACGGCTTTGGGGGAAGGGGCAACGATATGAGATTTTTGCCTATGCAGTTTCGTCTCTCAAGTTTCTGATCGGCTGCCTTGTAATGAGCTTGGCTGAGTTAGTGAGGTGCAGCAGGCGTGTGCTCTGACAAACACTGGTGTTCAGCTGATGCTAGCTGTAAAATGGACAGAGTTCTGACTTTTCACAGAATCTGCAGCCTCTGTAAATATGGTTAAATGGTTTCTGCTGTTAGATTTCCCTTTAGTTGTGATACTCGCAGGTTTTTTTATATTTGACTGAAACTGTAGTAAGGCCTTCCTCACCACAGTTGATGTTTATTTATAGAAGCCCTATTGTACGAGATCCTGTTGTTGAAGTCAGGTGACATGTATGTTCCTCCTCCAGCCTTGTGTAGGTGAGCTGAAGTACCTCCGGTTCTTCAGGATTGTGGCTATTACCGAATGGGACCACTGCAGAGAGCTTCAGTAGTGTACTTCCAGTACTTTTTGGAGTACTTTTTGTGTCCCTACTTAGTGAACAGGAAAAATAAGTTTACTAGGACGAGAGTCATCTTGCAGCTGTAATTTCTCCTACAAGTGTTAAGCCAAATGTGTGCCTGTTCCGCATTTGGAAGCGTGAAATTCTATTGCTAGTGTGAGAAAGTGGTAGTCTAATGATGCAAATCTGAAGAGAAAATAGTGGATGTTTGAGATGTGGGTGGATAAACTGTTAAAAAAAGAAAATGTAGCTTTGCACTTGCTGCTTGAATTTCCAGATTTTTTTAATTCTTACTGTTGATTTTTTCATCAGAATGTAAAACCCCACCCATCCTAACTCTTCCTTAATTTCCTTCCTCCTCTCCTTTCCCAATTAAAAGTTAGAAAGGTGGTAGGTAAATCCCCCCTGCTCCAAGCTCTAGCCATATTTAGAAGACAGTCATTCCTGGACTGGTTCCGATCCATGCTGGGCAAACTCAGTTTGTTATCAGATAGTCTAGAAAAGTAACTTGCAATGTTTCTCAGTTCCTAGGTGGCTAAAGTATTTTTTCTTTTGGTGTGAATCCCTCTGTTGTGAATTGAGCTTACAGACAGTAGCATTTTCTTCCCATACTGTTGCAGGCTGCTTTAACAGCAGTGAAGCTAAGTGTAGAAGCAGTGCTTTAGAGGCAAACAGCAGATCATCTTTTGGTAGAGAAGTTTCTCTGCAGTGGGGTTATGATACTTGAGATGGACGGGTTGCCTCCATGGCCAGCCCTTGGCAAATGGCCTGGTTTAAAAAGTGTGGTGACGGAGTAGCTTTTCCCTGTGATAGACGCTTTATGACTTTTTCTTAAAGATCTTTGATCTCTGAACCACACTTGAACTTGGGGAGTTCTGCATAAAATAATGTTAATCCTTTTATAGATGCAGCTCAGTTGATACTGTTGCTGTTTATGCATTGTGTGAACCAAAATGTCGCTTATTTCTGTTGCCAGTGCATGTCTCCTTATTCTTGTAGTGTGAGGCTAGAAGGTTTGTTTTTTTAATTCATCTTGTGTCTGTTTTATACACCTTTAATTGAATCTTCAGGATACAGCCTTACTGTAAGAAGGGCAGTATTGAATAAAACTTACTTGTATTTTTTCATCTTGTGAGCTTGAAGACTACATAATGTCTTACGTTTGTTGTAAATGACAAAAATTTGGAAAAAATAGCTCCTGATCAGGCTTTCCACTAAGTGTACTTTGAGAGAAACTACTTGGCAAGATTTCTTAAACCTTTATATTATCTGTTGGAACATGTCTTAATGAAGGTTATTTTTATTTTCTGGTTAAAATGGTGGAGAAGTGGGAAGAAAGCAGTGCAAATATGCAAGCAGTATAGGTGGTCTTCTAAAATTGGTTAAAGAAACTACATATTTCTAACGTCTTTGAACTCTAGAGCATTTGTAGTGATGAGGTGACATAGTGTTCTTGAGTGTTTCACTAACATGGTAGCTGTTGAAAGATTGTTATTGTCTTTGTTTGCCCACTTCCTGTTTACTGGATTCCTTGTTTTCATCAAAACCGGGAGGGGGGAGGAAATTCATGAAACTTCTGTCTCAGTTGGGAATAAACATTGGTTTGCGGAGTTCTTAATTGGCCCGGAACTTGAACCGATGGACAAAGGTTGAGCTTCAATCTTTCATGGTCCAGTAGCTACCGTTTTGAACACATTTTTTGAATCATTCTGCACACAGTCACTTGGAAACCCTTGTTTAAGAGTTAATTGCCCCCGTTACTTTCTGCAAACCGAAACTGCAGAGGTCCCTTAACATCTAGCTTTTGGGGATTATGGTGCATAAGCTTATTTTGTGTATGTCTTGATTAGTGATTGATATTTAATTGCATTTTTCAGGGGAATAAAATCAGCAGTGTTGATATTACAAAATGACAAAACATCCTCCGAATAGAAGAGGGATCAACTTTGAGGTGGGAGCCCAGTTGGAAGCCCGTGACAGATTAAAAAACTGGTATTTTTTTAAAACCATTCATATTATATTAACTCTAAGTCTTTAATATCTTAAACATTTTGTATTGGTGCAATATTTAGAGTTTCCTGGTCATTGGTTTGTAGGAAAGTGTTCTGGTTTTGGCTGAGATAGAGTTTATTTTCTTTCTAGTTTAGTGCTGTGTTTTGGATTTAGTATAAGAATAATGTTGATAACACTGATGTTTTTAGTTGTTGCTGGGTAGTTGTGCCTACATTAAGTCAAGGACTTTGCAGCTTCCCATGCCCTGCCAGGTGCAGAAGAAGCTGGGAGAGCGCAGCCAGGACAGCTGACCCAGACTGGCCATATTCCATACCATATAGTGTCATGGTCCGTATATAACTGGGGAAGTGAGCTGGGAGGCAGAATAGCTGTTTGGAAACAGACTGGGCAACAGGTTGCATTTGTGCATCACTTGTATTGTCGTTATTATTCTCTCCCTTTGTTATCGTATTAAACTGTCCTTATCTCAACCCATGAGCTTCCCCCTCCCTTCTTGTCCCCATTCCCATGGGGGGATGTGCGTGAGCGAGTGGCTGTGTAGTGCTTAATTACCTGCTGCGGTTAAACCATGACAGAAAGTAGTTAATTTATAAAGTTTATACAGCAGTGGTTGAGATGGGTGATAGATGCTGATATGCTGTGCTGGCCCTTAAAAAGAAGTGTACTGGCGCTGTCTGTGTCTGCAAAGCGGGACTGCTCATAAATCTAGTGGAACTTCAGACTCTGGTACTCCAGAATTCACATTTCAAATTCTGTGCTGTACACAGAGTGCAGAGCAGACATTATGGAGATATAAATCCTTTGCAGTACAGAATACCCAAGGTAGTTTCTCACTACTTCCTTTCCCATTGCTGTTGTGAATTCATAGCCTTTAAAGTCTGATTGAAATTGTCACAGCCTGTGCACACTCATCGGAGGGTGATCAGCTTTAAAGTTAAAGAACTGGGTGGAGAAACACACTCCATGCTAAGTTGTCTGCTCTGGGCTTGTCTGGCAGACTGTGGTTGTGAGGAAGAACGCTTTTCTTGACTAACCACTGCAGTAGGAAGGGGAAAAAGGGCCTAAAAGTTACTTGGGCTAACTTTGAGCCTTCTAACTGTTCATTTTAGGAAGTCAGCTCAAACATTGGTGTTTAATAATGCTCAGTAAATGAGGCATACAATGAAAATTGCTGGAGCCAGAGAGTTCTTAAATACAGGAATTAATTTGGTTTTGTTAGCTCCTTAAGATATTTTCACTCTCCTGAAATCAGCTAGAGTTGACTTTTACTTAAGAACCTGTGTGGGTTAGACATGACTGTACTTTAGGCTCTGGAAACCTGTCGGCAGTTTAAGCATGCAGAGGTAAGTGTTGAAAACCATCTGGACATCCCAGAAGGATGGAGCACTGCCTTAGACACAGGGGACTTGTTCCAAAACATCTTGGTTGCATGCAGAGTATTTGTCTACTTTGCAGGTACAAGGGGATTGGAATTGTGAAAATGAATAAACCTAGCTCTTTATGGAAAGAACATGAAGTACAAACATGAAATCATACTTGCATGTTGTGTTGGCTTTCCTGTGTAACTGAGAGTTGCATAGGTAGGGCTTCGATCTGAGTCTGCATGCATCTTTTGTATTCCTGAACTTTGTTTATACAGCAAAAAAAATGGTCATACCTACAAAAATGAGATTTCTTAGCCTGTCTGTAATGTAGGCTTGTTGAAGATGCTGTTTAGTATAGATCATGTTTGAGTGAGGCTAATAACTTATGTCCATGACTATTATCTTTCTGATGCATTTGGACAACAGTATCTCAAAGTATGAGTGTACACAGCTCTTATATGGGAAAATGGGGGGGGAAAATTCAACCCCTGCTATACTTTCCACATACCCCTTGGCTTACGTTTGAATTTTGGATATGCTGCATGTCCAAAACAAAGCCATGTTGTTTGGTTTGTTTTTTTTAAAACACTTGATCTTAAATGACCTGTCTTATGCACAGTGGTTTGCAAATCCTTGATCTCACAACTTAGTTACTAACTCTCCAGTTCTGAAAATTTTCTTGTGCTAGCTAAGCTTTTGAAACCTGGGTCAGAAAGTCTGTGTTTCCTTGACTGGCGATCTGCTTTCATTTCTGTTTTCAGGGTTTGTAAACCAAAATTTGTAAGAGCTGGGGGCTTATTTTTGCTTGGCAGGATCAGTGGTGGTAAGCTGACAGACCTCCCCAGTTGTGGATTTGTAGAGGACAGCAGGCTGCTTTTTTCTCCTGCTACTTCCACCTGCCACTGTGTGAACAGGACCACTCTGTGGTGTGGTTGCAGTGCTCTGCTTTTGTATGGATACAAAACTTTGTTTGCTGATACTTGCTGTTCCCAGTGCTAGACCTTCAAACGTCCAAGCTTTTCTGGTGTGTACTTCTGTTGCTATGCTGGCATTTAAACATAGGCAGGAGTCTGTTACTTGGTCGGAGGGCTGGTTTTGATTTCTGTGCTCAATACCAAACACACCAGTCAATTCATGGGCTGCTATTGCTCCTCAAATGGCAGTAGAGCTTTGGCAAGTATTTAATCTCAGAACCCCTTTTACCTGCCTTTCATGGCAGTGGCTTATGCCCTGAAATGTTAGTTCAGGACTTTCATGGTGTTTGGATGCGATGTCAACCCCATTGAAGAGGAAAAAAATAGTACCTGCCAGCAGAGTAGTCAAATGTAGAATCTGCTCCTTGCCAAAGTGCAAAATGATTTTTTGCATCTTTAGAGCTCTTTCCAAAGGTTGCTTTTTTTTTCTGGAATCGTAACGTATTGGAAGTGCATTTCAATTCCTGGTGCAGTTGTCTGTCACCTCCTTGACTTCAACTCCAGGGAGTACAGTGAGTACTTTTGGTGCTTGGCTTAGGTCTCGTTTGATGCAGCAAAGCTGTCACGAAAGGCTTGTGACAGTGTCTGACCTCAGGGCAGTACAGGGGGAGAGCTCTGGCTGTCGGGCAGTGCCTCCCTGCATGCTGAAAGGTCTCCTGGTATACGGTGCTGGAGTTCAGAGGGTGGAGTAGTGGGGCTGCTCCAGTAGTGCAGTCCTAAATGGAGAGATCCCAGAGAGCCTAGCTGTAAAGATGTACCAGCGCACACTGTCCTGGCAGAATCGAGTTCTTCAAATTTTTTGCATAGGATCATTTTGATTCTTCAGTGCTGGCTAGCTGCAGACACTCTTACTGAAAAGAGGATGACTGCGCTGGACACCTGCAGTAGGCAAATGATTGCGTTACCTTATTGTAATGATGCCTCTTGAGTTCTTCTGTCTGCTGTGTAAGTAAAGTGGATATGAAGAGACTTTTGATTCTGCTTGAGTCTCTTTGAGTATTAAAAACAAGATTAGCGGTGTTGTATTGTGTTACCCTGTTAAGGTTTAGACTGTCAGTCCCATGAGTTTAATTGCTCATGCTGTCGGGACTTTGTCTCAGTACTGAAAAGATGAAACCCCTGTGCTGTTGTCCTTCATAGCACAGGTTCTCCTAGATGCTTCCTTTCAGCATTGCTTTGACTCCAGTAAGTTTGTCCCTTCCTAGCTCCAAGAGAGAGGGGGTTTACAGCAATTCCACTTTGGTGTATAGGAAAGGAGAAGGGACACAAACTAGTCCAGGCCTGAGAGATTGGAACTCCTTCAGTCAGCACTCTGATTCTGAATTTCCAGATATTTACCTCTTCCCAGAAGAGGATGGTTTTATACTTGTGTCTGCAAGAAGCCTGTTTTCATATTGTTTGCTGTGCTCTGACAGCAGTAGTCTGAAGTTGCCAGTCATTGCTAACCCCTGTCTGTTGAGAGTTATGTTGTTTGAGCTTTTGATTGTCACTTGGGTTCTTAGCAAAACTGATTCCAGCAGTTTTGGGCATCTTTGAGGTTTTCCCTTACTGTTGAGCCAGTGCATAAGGCCTTGAAAGCTGCGAGCTCATCGTTTCTTTTGAATTGAGCTGGAAAACTACTTGTTTTGGCCTGCCAATTTATTGCAAGAAGTTGTGTCTGATTTCAGTTTGGTTTTCATAATGTGCGAGATAAATATTCAAATCAGTACCAGTTGGGGATTTCTTGCACAGCATCGGTTAGCTGTCTTGAAAAGCCACAGAGTCAGCTAAATGCTTCCTTTGTGGTTTGGGGGAGGGTGTGTTGGACCATCCCTGGACACGTGGCAGTTGTACTCTTTTTCAGGCCTTAGCCAGGCTTCAGCTATTGGACTTTCCCTTTGTGTATTCTCCTACAGTATGTTTTCTTGAAAAATGAGTGAATTTCTTTTCAGTTACCTCTACCCCTTGGCACATTAGTGTGTGCGTATGGATATGCTGTATTACTCCTGTATTGATCTGTGGGAACTTGTGCCTCCTGATTTGGCATGCTTACTCAAGGCTTTGAAGGCTAGGGGACGAATGTTGGAGGAAGGAAGCTTGTGCTGTCAGTGTGTGGTGCTCAGAGCTGCTGAGAACCTATGAACCTTTCTTCTTTGTTTCAAAGTTGCCAGCACTGTGTTTTGCATCTGAAAGGAAGGTGGTATCCGGGAGGGGGCTGTCAAAGCTCCTGGATAGATCTAGCACAGCTTCTAATAGGCTTACTGTTCCAGTCAAGAGTGCCAAACATATGCTTGCTGGTGCTGGTTGCTTTAGAAAGAGAAGATTTGCAGCATGTTATCCAGGAGCTGGCTGAGAGCTCCAGTTCACCTACACTGGCTCTCAGGCTGAAATTTGGTCTCATTGTCAGGTATGGTTTTGTTTTCCTGATAAATCAGCATCTCTCTCCCAACAGAGAGTCTTTAGAATGTGAAATGGGATAGGTGTGGATGATACTGGAGCATGGTTCTGGGATGATGGTTCTTCTGGTGGAGAAGGTTCCTCTGTTTACCAGGTATGAAGCAGGGTACAGTCTTGCATCATAGAGTTAATTGGCTCTTGTCACGGGGGCTTGTCTCACCCCAGTGGAGAAAGTTATTGAATTGTGTTTACCAGATGTGTTTGCATGGACTGGATCGTTAGCTTAATGTTGAGTCAGTACTCTGTCATTTTTATCAGCTTCCCTCTTGATCTTCGAGCGTCTGGACAAGCCATAGGCCCCTTGCAGTCCTGATGGCAAAAGTGTCCTTCTGACTAGTCTCTTCTTGAGAGGATCTGGGAATTCCTGCCCTCGTTTTTGCTGCGCTTTGCAGGGAACTGGATACTGATCTTTGTCGTTACCTGTACTTACTGATAGGCAGTTGCTGAGATATCTAAGAATAAACTATGTTTAATAGAACTATGTTGTTATATGTGGAAAGACTCTGAATATTCCCCGCTCGTGAACCTGATCAGGGCAGTGCTCGGGGTTACCTAAGTACGAAATATGTTGACTGTCAGACAAAGGAAGTGACTTCCTTCCTGGGAGGCTTGTAACCAGTTAGAGATGTCCACGCTGTAAGTATCTCCCCTTTGTCTTCCTCTCCTCCGCAGCCTTTGCTGCATGTGATTTGGTAATATATTGGGATGAACTAATGGCATAGCTGGATGCATGTGGCATCGAGTGCTAGGCAGGGCCTTAGGCTGCGGTTGCACTGTAAGTCTCTAGTGAGGCCTCTTTGTAGGTCTTTTGAGCAAGTCATGACTGGACGTGTCTTGGATTTGCTGAAGAATTTCAGTTGTAAGTGGCTTTTCATGTGTGTAGGATTGTAAAATGGTACTCTGTTGCATTTAAGTCTTAATTCTGACATGTCTAGATTTTATTTTTGGCATCAGGCTTGATCCTTTTGAGATGCCATTTCTTTCTACCCCTTGTTCTATCTTTTTTAAGTGTGATTTATGAGGTAAAGAACACTTGTGGGTTTGTTTGGGGTTTTTTCTTCAACCCTTTGTTCAAGAATTCAGTGGGGCTTTGCCTTTTTTCCAAATAACTGAAAACACTGACAAACGGAGATCTTTCTCCTGGCACTATTATTCCGGAAGGGAAAACATCAATACTTGGGATGTTGTCTTCAGCTGGGATAGTGAAATATGCTAAGATTCTGAAATACTTACTGAAGTTACAAATTACCAATGCAATTAAAGAAATGCATCATTTAGAAGGTCTTCCTGATTAGAAACAACTGGATTTTACTCTTCTCAGATTCTTGTACTTCTAATATACTGAGAGATTTTTTTATTTAAAAGTCCCAGGACTTCGTAGATAAGATTTAGATTCTCAAAGTTAAATTTAAAATTAGGTTTAGTGTGCCTGCTAGACTTTTGCTGTTACACTGGGAAGATGATTCATGATGCCTGTTGATGGATATCTCAGAGGAGTGTATTGACCTCCAGGTGTTATTCTTGGTAAAAGGGAGCTGAAGCTGTCAGTCTTGTCTATACGTGAAATGTCTAGATGTATAGAAGGTTTTTCTGACTTCTTGATCTCTAGTTACCTTTTTTTTCCACCCTGGACTAAGATCTCCTTAGTTGTATTTTCTTCTTTGCAGCCAATGTTTGCCTCTGTTCAGTTTTGGGATTTGTGCTGAGCTCTTAGTCATTCTGTAGCATCTTTATTGCTTATATAAGTGATACATCAATATTAACATTATAGAAATTAAAAGTTGTTAGGTATAGTAACTTGGCTCCCCATCACACCTGATCAAGTAGATCTTCAGATATTTTGCTTTTGATCATGCAGAAGGCCCCATTTGTGTAATGTTTTGTACTGTAGTTAAGTGTTGAGTAAGTTAACACGTAAGTGTAGTTAAGTAAGACAGCTTACTTTATTCTTAATTGAAATATTTTAATCTACCTTTTGACCAGGTATCCAGCTCACATTGAAGAAATTGATTATGAAGAAGGAAAAGTACTTATCCATTTCAAACGCTGGAACCATAGATACGATGAATGGTTTTGTTGGGACAGTCCTTATTTGCGTCCCTTAGAGAAAATACAGTTAAGAAAAGAAGGATTACATGAGGAAGAAGGTTGTGCAGTAAGTAGAAAATAGAGGACATTTGAGTATGCAATAGTTTATGTGCAGTTCTATGAATTGTGACCACTAAAATGCTTCACCATTGCTGTGTTGCCTGCTGTATAAATTTTATGATTTATTTTAAATATTGGAAAACTAATCATTATGATGTTTCAATGAAGTTGTGTAATTCTCAGATGAAAACACTTCTGTCTTCTAGGGATTTCATATAAATGATCAGGTATTGGCATGCTGGTCTGACTGTCGCTTCTATCCGGCCAAAGTTACTGCTGTTAACAAGGATGGTAAGGAGTCATTTTGAGTTTTGTCATGCTTGTTGGTAATGCACTTCTAATTGTATTCTAACCTTTCTGCTTAGGTGGAGAGATAGTACAGCAGACAGAAGACAACTGTGAAGAGCATTATTTTCAATTATATGTTTTAGTCTGCCATCAACTTTTTTTAACCTAGCCTCTTAGCCTTTTCATGAGAGAAAAGAACTTTCTGCTGGGATATCCAGTCAGTAATTGCTTTAAGTATATGTTTGGGAAAACTTGTTTCTTAAGTTTATTGTCAAGAGATGCATGTAACTGCAGTAAAACTAGTGTCAGAGCTGCAAAACCCCTTTACAAATAGAGGGTGGGGAGAAAGCATAGCCATGCTGCTTCTTTTTGAATTTCAGTAAGTCACCATGAAGGACTTGTGCTGTGCTTTCTTTAGATTAACTGTGTGCTGTAAAGATCAAAGAGAAAACGTCTGCAATTATCTATTGGAGTAGTCCACAAAAAAATATTTTGGGGTTTTGTGAAGAAAGTATCTAAGGAGCAACTCTAAGCTTAAACATGCACTTTTACGCTTACCGTTATTATTTTTGGTAACTTCACTGTTTCTTCTTTACGTGGCCTGTGATAAGACCTCTGCTGTTGAAGATTCTAACAACACAGATAAGGCAGCTTTTATCTAGAGCAAAATATGCAGCTAGGGTATTGGAGCTGTCAGCAGATGCTCTGTTAAATAACTTTTGATCTTTACTTGACTCTTACACTTTATTTTCAAATTTTAGGTACATACACTGTGAAATTTTATGATGGTGTAGTTCAGACTGTCAAAAACATTCATGTCAAAGCTTTTTCCAACGATCAGGTAAGTAGAATATACTAGTAGCATGAACACAATAGAAATAACAGTTCAGGTGACTAGACTTGACGAATTATATGAAATGCATGAAACTTCTCTATTGCTAATATACAATACATCTGAAATAAAATCTGTTAAAATGAAAAGGTTACGCAAATCTTCATGGTATGATTTGCGAAGCTCTCAGGTTCATGTTCTTATGAATGCACTTAACGAACTGAAGAAGTTATAAGCATGTAAATAAAACGTAAATAAATTTTTTCTAAAAATCATTGCAAGATTTGGAATGTACATACTAAAGCTAGTGGTAGGTTATTGAAGCACACTTTGGTTGTTTCACCTGTTTGAGGTTAGTCTAAACAGATGCACCTTAAAAATTAAGGCATGGGAACTGTGGAGAGGACAGAAACTATTCTTTCCCAAAGTAACTACTTGATTGTCTTGAGACTTTTAAGGAAGCTGTCTATAATCTTTCACCTCCCAACTTTGAGAAAATAAGCTCTTTCACTAAACCACATTCTGCTTCTATGGTTTGGCTATTCTACCAACACTTCACCTGCTCAGTGCTGTGGGTCCAACCTTCGGAATAGAATAGGCTGTTTATTTTGGTTGGAAGGGACCTGCAATGATCGCCTTGTCCGACTGCCTGACTGATTCAGGGCTGACCAAGCTACAGCCTGTTGTTAAGGGCATTGTCCAAATGCCTCAAACCCTGACAGGCTTGGGGCATTGACCACCTCTCGAGGAAGACTGCTCCAGGGTTTGACCGCCGTCTCGGTAAAGAAATCCTTCCTCGTGTCCAGTCTGAACCTCCCTGGCGCAGCTTTGAACCATTCCCACATAGTAGGAGTAGTAGTGAGCCATTCCTCCTGCTCAGGGCGAGAAGGAAGAGGTGCTGCTTTGTACTTCAGTTTTCATGTGCGGGCACTTAGTAGGAAAGGCTGACAAGTTCTAGTCCTGTATAACTTGGTTAAAACATCTTAAGTGCCTGCTTCAGAATAATTTTTGTTACAGAAATGGTTTTAAGTTTGAGATCTTGCCACACGTTCCTGTGTGGTAGCTGTAGCCTGTGTGTTTAGTCATGCTTTCTGCTTTTAGTTTTCTGGAACTTTTAAGTCTGAACAAAGAAATTGAATCCCTCCCCCAACACAAGCCTTAAATATGGATTCCAGTAATGAATATTAATGGCTACAATTTGAATCTGTCACTGTTGTGAAGAGGCATGCCATTTCTTGGAGGTCTCCAGATTTGTGTATTTACCAGGCTGGGAGGGAAAACTTTCAGATTTGCCACAAAGAGCTCTTAATAATTGTGCCTGGCTGTGGGTTGACTTAATACTCACAAGGAAACTACCTGATGAATCTTCATTGCCATGAAAAATATTTCTACCATATTTAACCTTAAATACATGAAGTTGAACAATCCTAAGAAATATTCTGCATAAGAAAAGCAAAGTATTTTTGTCTCTCCTTTAGGAAGTTTCATGTTTCTGCATAGTTTTGGGTAGGTTTTGAAAGGAGTTTTAAGTTTTCTTCTCCATTTAGCCACTGGCCAGGAAGATTTCTCTTAACCCAGGAGATAAGTTATGCTAGAACATTCCATTTTGTCCTTTAGCATAAAAAAAACATGAAGGGAGATTTTCCTGGTGAGGTCTATTTACACAATCAGAAGTAAAGATTAAAAAAAATACTTGAACCACTGGAGAGCTCAGAATTCAGTTGTGAATGTAAGTTAGTTAAGGGGTGAATTCAGACACACACTGAAGTAGCGGTGTGCTGGCAGTGGAAGGGAAGCGTCTTGTTTCTGTTTATCAGTAGGAGGGACTGTACCTGTGAAGACACACATGGCTCATATCTTAGCTGTTAAATAAAAATTTAAAAGCCCCCAAACCACCTGATTTCTAAGATAGCAGCATAAGCTCTGTCCCTGTGTAGAGGTCATAACATGCTATATTGAACAGTGATGGTAAAATGCTAACGTACTTACACAAGGACACACAGCTTTTAAGAGTTCAGTGACATCAAGAGGTAATTCAGATGTGCTGTGTTTATGGTTCAGTTTCTGGAGAATAATTTAAGAATTTAAGATAGTTCGTGTCCGTTCCAGTACCACATACTTGATTTAAATCAGATGGTTCTATAAGCGGCACAACTGATGAAACCTGGTGTCTGAGGGCTGCTTTTGAGTTTTTTACTAATGTTTGAGTTTCCACTGAAGCTTCTCCTATAACTCTGGCATTTGAGGAAGTTAGAGAAGATGGATTTTTATAATGTCTGATAAAAGTGGTGCTCGGACACCTAAGGTGAAAGACTTTCTTTCCCTTTGTCTAGCTGTTTTCATGAAATACACAGCAATTTGATCTCCTTTTTTTTTTTAAAAAGTGATTTATTTTTTTTTAATCATGGCTGTGCCAAGTATGGTTGAAATAATGTTGAGAGTGGAGGAGATTGCACGTTCACCATTTTATTGCATCAAGATTATTTCTTAGGACTGTGGTCTGAAAATGGCAATCTTAGAAGGTATCAGTTCCTGTAAGCCAAGTACCGATAGGAAGATTGGGGTGGGAAGAAGCAAGATGTAGTGTAGCACGAGGAGCTAGTAAGTCTTAAGTGTATTCTCAGAATTTTGTAAAACTCAAATCAGCTGTTCCGCTTTCTTTCCCCGAAGAGGTATTGAGGTGTTTAGCCTTTCTCGTCCTCTGATCCTTGTTCAGAGTTTAAGCTTGTTGTGCCTTGCAGAACTATGGCTGGGAAGGAGTATGGTTGCTCTGTAATGCTTGAAGTTATTAGGCAACAGGAAAAGGGAAGTTAGTTCAGCTAAAGGCAGTGTTGACACATGACCTAATATAAATTATTAATCCAGGTACAAAGTTAGAAGGTTTCTGTTTATCAGAGCAGAGAAGTTCTGGGACAGCCTGTAGCAGGATCATTGGAAGGGGAAAAAAAATAAAACCTGTGTCCTCCCAAGGTGGTGTGAATGTGAAACTGGATCGTGAAGTGGAAAGGGCATTGAGTAGCAGCAACCTGGTGATGCAGGGGTGTTCTTCCTGGTTTGGTGGTGTTATAGAAGGACTATGGGGAAATGAGATTACAGTTGAGTATTGTATCACTAGCTTGCTTGTGAAGGATTTTCATTTCCTCTCGTGCTGAGCACCAATTACAGAAAAAGCCAGCAGGTCGAGGGAGGGGGATTCTGCTCAGCTCTGCTGAGACCCGCCCCCTGCAGTACTGCGTCCATCTCAGGGGTCTCCAGGACAAGAAGGACATGGAGCTGTTGGAGCGAGTCCAGAGGAGGCCACGGAGATGATCCAAGGGCTGGATCACCTCTGCCATGGAGACAGGCTGAGAGAGTTGGGGTTGTTCAGCCTGGAGAAGAGAAGGCTGCGGGGAGACCTTAGAGCCCCTTCCAGTCCCTGCAGGGGCTCCAGGAAAGCTGGAGAGGGGCTGGTGACAAGGGCAGGGAGTGACAGGCCAAGGGGGAAGGCCTGGAGCTGCCGGAGGGGGGCTCAATCCGTCCCTGGGAGGGTGCTGAGGCCCTGGCCCAGGGTGCCCAGAGAGGCTTTGGCTGCCCCTGGCTCCCTGGCAGTGTTCAAGGCCAGGTTGGATGGGGCTTTGGGCAGCCTGGGCTAGTGGAGGGTGTCCCTGCCCATGGCAGGGGGTGGGACTGGATGGGCTTTGAGGTCCCTTCCAACCCAAACCACTCTGGGATTCTACGATTGGTTTAAAGTTTTGTTTTTAAACTTTAACGTGTAAATTTTAACATCATGTGGTTCCTGAGGAAGCTGGTGATTGCAATTGCTTTATGTGACACTTAACACATTTTAGTAGCAGTGATAATTACAAGCTAAATACTGGTCTGTTTTGAGTGAGATGCTTCTGTGAAAGGAAGACCAGTTTTGCATCAGAGTGACTGAGCCAATTATCCTTTTCTGTGCTCCTGACTCCCACTCTTTCTTCAGTGTCCCAAGTAGGCTGTAGGTAGTGCTGTGCAAGCTGGTATGAATGTAACCTGCGCGTGAGAAAGAAGAAACAAATGCCAGTGAGTTGTGAAAAGAGTGAACCTGTTGTGCTGTCCTGTTGAAGCTGCACAGGTGCTTGGGCAGTTCAGATGCTTCTAACTTTTAATCTGTGGGTTACAGTGGAGTATATGCTTTTATCCTTTGAAAAATTGCACAAAGATGCAAGTCTGCTAAATACAAAGGTGTGCGGGGGGCACTTTCAGATTGCAGTAAGTTAACTTTCATATGTTGCTCTCTTTTTATTCTAGAATATTGTGGGTAATGCTAAGCCTAAGGAAAGAGGTAATGAAATTCTGTCATCTCCTGAAAAGCGAGAGAAATTTAAAGAACAGAGGAAAGCAACAGGTAATGCAAAGAAAGACAAGGATGAAAAGACATTGAAGACTGAGAAAAGAGTTAGGCAACCTGATAAAGAAGGAAAATTGATAGTCATCTCAGAAAAAGGCAAGGTCTCAGAAAAGAATATATCTAAGAATGGAAAAGAAGATAAAGAGAATATATCAGAGAATGATATGGAATATTCAGTAGATAAACAAATTGAGAAGAAGCCTGAGAATGACAATGTAAAGAGTTCACAGGAAAACACAAAAGAAACCAAACGAAAACGTGGAAGACCACCGATTACGCCTCCAACAGGTATGTAGCTAAGCTTAAATGTTTAGGCCATATATCAGAACCCATACAAACTTACTAAAGGAATGAAAAGTATCTTGCTCTTTTGCAGCCTAAGGTTCTAGAAACTTTGAAAAAATTTTAAACCCATCTTTGTTCAGGGCTGTTTAGGACAGCTGAGAACGTGCTTGTTAGGCTTGGAGCTTCAGTGGTTTGGTCAGAGATTAGATTTAGGCAAGTAAACTTCATATGTTATAAAACATTTCTGCAGTAGGATTAAATGCTAATAAATAGACTTTGGAAAGACTGGTGAAGACTGTATTTATGCAAGTCCAGTATTTTAAGTTATGAGGCTTGGGAATTTGTGTTTTAAAGAGTTTCGCAGATTCGTATCCAGTCAATTTTTGTTCTGTATCTAAATATGTAGAGCCAAGTTCTCAGACACTGCAGCCCATAACTTTGGAGTTAAGACGTCGGAAAATACCTAAGGGAGGTGAAGTTCCATCAAAGCGTCCCAGGATTGAAAAAAACTTGTGTGAGTATTTTTTTGGAATGCAGCTTGTATAGGATTTATACATAAGAATTCTTGAAGCTTGAGTGGGGGGGGGGGGGGAAATGTTTGTCA